CAGGACGTTTTTTTTAAATTATTTTTAAGGATATGTATTTTCTATCCCACTGACCATTATCAAGATGACTTTGTATCTGTCTTTCAACCTAGACAAACTTGAAACATTCATCTTCAAAAATGAAGGAAGGTCATTTTTCTCCATACATTTGGATTACACAATCTGTAATAAGGTGTGTTTTAGGCTTAATACTTAACCTTTGTTCCACTGCACCAGCCAAAATTAAAAGGCAGCATACCCTACAGACCCAAACGTCAGCTTCTTATGCTTGTATTTTCTGCCTCCCAGTACAGACAGGTATATAATTAAAGAACTTTTGAGACCAATACAAAAGTAAGTGAATAATTAGATCACTTTTACAATATGTGTGCAACTACAATTTTTTTCCTGGATTTCCATTCTTTCACACATCAATTTTTTAAATCCTTGAAGATCAGTGCATATGCTCTGTACTGTACTTCTCAGGTGAGAAGCACAGCAAGAGGACACCGGGCAAAGGTGCCTCTGAATTGCTCTACCCAACCAGACTTGGCCATTGGCACTCCGCAACCTGCAATCATTGTGATGCCAAGTGCAACAGTCCCCCTTTTTCCCAACCTTGTTATTTCTTCAGCCATCCTTGCAACAGCTTCCAGGCCAGAGCTGCGTGGTCCCGCAGACCACCCTGTGGTAGGCTCTTTTCAGTTCCCACACTGGCAGTGCTCTTCCTTTAGCCATTTATAGAGCTGAGTGGAGAACAGAAACAAGGGTGGGACCAGAGCCTGGTCCACAAGCTAGAGCTCAGCAGGATTTTAACCTTTAAAAAAAAAAAAAAATCTAACAGCAGACAGGAATCTGAATTCTTGACCAAAAGCGTTATCAGAATTCCTGTAAAAAAAATTTCCCATATGTTGCTCCTTGCTGATCCTTAGGAAGGCATGTATTTTTGATTCACTGCATTGATAGCTCCTTCTTTAGACTAGAAGGACTTCATGCCATACTTTCCAGAAAAACTGTTGATTTCTATACGAAGTATTTCTTTGCTTCAGTGGCTAAATTAATTTATTCAGCACTATCATCGTATGTGCCAATAGCCATTGTATCAGCACACATGAAATTATTATTATGATCACTGACTTCTGAAATATAAAATAATCAAACCTCTTATTTTCTTATCAGGATGAGGGAGGCTTATCATTCTAGATACTTTTCAAATATAGGATTTATGTATGACTTTTTTCCCAGATTTACATTAATGACACTATGTTCTTCTGATGGACTGTGGTTTATTTTGGCAAGTTTCCCTTAAATTGATTGACTCAGTTTCCATCACTTGTGATCTTTGCACTTCCTAAAGTGTCAGTAAGGCTGGCCAAATATAACCAGTGTAACAGAGCACACAGTGTCTAGAGAGATTTTCAAGCTAAGGATATAAGACTGTTTGATTTTAAAACTCTAAACATCTCTATACTGGAAAGAATGAAAAATAAGCTATTTGAAAAATGGTACATCATCATTATTTATTATCTAACTTTTTTGAAAAAAATGTATTTCAAGGCTTATGTGTGATACAACAACAAGTAACTTATCTGATATAATACATTTCAGATCTGTTTAATATGCTTGGGTTCCTTGTTCTATCTTTTTATATCTTAATCACTTTTTTCCCCCCAGAAATTTTAACAAAAACCATTTGGCATTTATACTGATATATGTCCCACTATTAATAGTACCTACTATATCATTACAATCATCAGTCTAACAGAAAAATGCATGGGAAAAGGCATAAATGGTAAAGTTCAAAACGACTGAAAATTCTTGCGACATACGCATCTCCAAATTGTGTAAAGGAGCGCCATGTACTTCTCAAATATGGCAAACAATTTCAAGCTGTTAGCTTGTTTCCTGTGAGAAAAGCTCCTCTAAATCTAATTTCAAACTGCTTAGAAAGATGTTTTCCCTTGAGGGACTATTACTGTAACCATGAAACAAAAAGATTTAGGACCTTTACATGAAATGATCTGAAAGAAGCCAAAAAACCTGTCCATCCTGCCAGCCAAGAGGAAGAATGGAATGAGATGGATCTTTGACTTCTGCTCACTGCTTCCCTTCAACCTATAAGCAAGTACCTATAGGTGGGGCATAAAAAAGTACAGCTGAGGGACAGGCTGTTGCTGCACCAGGTAGTTCCAATTTTTGTAACTGCTGTTGAACTACTCGTGTCATGGAAACAGAGAACAGCTATTTGATTAATAACAAATTAGAGAAAAAACCAGCACAACCACACCACAAAACCAAAAAACAAACAACCACCTTCCCCACAGACATTTATTAGACAAGCCACCATGTACAAAGTTGGGCTATTGCAGTGTCACGGATAAAGGAGAAGAAAAAGATCTACTGCATTTTATGAATTAGCCTAGGGGGTCCTCAAATGTTTTCATAGACCTTGTACCACATCTTAATTAAGAAATTGTCTCATATCCCAATCATGATTGTATAAACACCCCTTAGAAACTACAGAAAAAGTTTTTGTGGAAAAAATGGTATTAAAAGCAAAGCAGAATACTTTTCTATTTTTCTCTTAATAAAGTTAAGTAGCTAGAAAGGAGGAACACAGCCCGAACTAGAGAACTACTGACCTCTCTCTGGACCTCCACAGTGTTCCACAAGCCGATCTGGGAACATCTGACCTAGTCCATTCTCCTGGCAACTAATGATTTGCTCCCCATAAAAATAATTTCTATGCTTAGCTCTTTTCTTTTTAATTAATTTTGATGAAAGCTGATATCAACTTTCTTTAGATTTTAATGTTTGGAACCAATGCTAGAGCTTGCCCTCACAGTAAGACCTCCAGCTGAAAAGTTAATTTCCCATTAAGCACTTTTTCTGCAGGGTGAACAGTATGAAGCTTATCTTATGCAGTTTATGCACCAAAAATAAAGCTACAAAAATGGTGACTTAGGAAAAAACAAAAGATGCCTGGTTACTAACCATTTGTTCTCATTTCATTCAGGAAATAAAAGGAAAATAGTAGCGAAAATAGGTGTGTAGGGTACCTGAATTCCACAGAAGGGTCTTGAATCCAATACTTTTCTCTTCCTAATTCTCATCTGATATAGGGTAAGCTGTGGTCACATAACTTTAAAAAGATTTGAGATGATGACAGATGAAGAGATATAGCTATAGCTCTCTTCCTTTTTAAGGTTTTTTTTAAAACTGCATTCTGTCAAGGACCAGATAAAACTGGAAAGCAGAAGCAAGATAGAAAACTCAGAGATTAAATTGCTTGCTTTTACAGAATAGGTAAGAAAACAAAACAATGCTATTGCCTCTTACTTCTTTCTGGTAAGTCCTTTAACATTTTCCTTTTCAGAGTCTCTCAAATCTTTAACTACTCCTGTATCATATCATCACCAATGACATCAAGAACTTAAAAAAGAAACTCAGAACTAGTCTAAACATTTTCTACTAGGCAAGAAAAAATTACTTCACTCAATAGATATGAACAGAAAGATGAACAGAAAGGGGTTATTTACCCCAAACTGACATGGTGCTCAGAGACCAGAAAATCTGTGCTAAATGCAACAACTCTCTCTGTAACTAGATCATCCTTTATTCAAGTAAGCTAAACTTTATAAATACGTGGGGGAAAAAAAAAAAGGTTATATTTCTTGGTTTATAACATGAAAATTATATTTGCTTCTTTCAAGCAACTGGAATTAGGACAGATGTTTGTGGGAATAACTATGGGCTTGAACAAAATCAGTATTGTAGTTTTCCTCGTTTAAGCTATTTGAGTTACATTATTCCTGTGCTTTGCGGCTGTCTACCACTAGCTCACACTTAGGATTGAAAATTCTTGGTGGAATATACCATTTCAGACAGACAGATCTGGTGAGAAATGAGGACAGAAAATATATTAAAGAGTTTTTTTTCTATTTTCTTTATGTCCCCCCTTTTCCTAATCCCCTCTCAAGAAGGCTCAGAGCACTAAGAAGTTTCATGATAAAGGAATGACATCTCCATGGGCTACAATTTTACAGTTGACTTTGCATTTGTGTATCTTCCTTATAAATATGTACTGCATCTTCAGCTAGATGAACCTAGCTGAAAAAGAAAGCAAGATTTACACTAAAATTAGTTTTCTTCAAAGTATCAGAAAGATGAGGTAAAAAGCGAAAAAACAAACCACAACCAACAAAAAAACTACCAAATACTGTAACAAAAGGAAAATACCCTAGCAAACATTTTGAAGCATGACTATTTTTACATGATTTTTGAGGGAAATGTTGTTGTAAGATAATGTGATAATTCTTATAGCTACTTAACATAGAATAATGCATGTATGCTTTTCCTTTAAAGGCAGCTCACAGGCTCAAAGCATAATCTCTGCATACTCCTAACTGATCACTAGCCATGAACTTGAAGAATAAAAACCACACGTACACCTGAGTAAGATGCTTTAAAACAAAACAAATAGGTACATTATACTAATATCTCTTAATACAGTAAAGTTCAGTTCCTAAAAGGCTTTATTTGCAACCTGTATCCTGTCTGCACACATCCTAAAAGTCTTCACAAATAATATTAGAGGCTAGTTTTCCAGAGAGTGCTTGCCTCATACAGCAGGCAAATGGTAGATGAAAAAAAAAGGATAGAATTAAGTTTCATGGATAATCTCAAAAGTGAGAACGGGACATCATAATTTTTTTTCCTTAAAAAAAGAAAAAAAAAAAAAAGAATATATTTGGCGGAAAAGAGTGTTAAACGTTTTCTTCCAGGAAGTAGTCTCTTCAGCTGTTTTTCCTATGTATTCTGGAATTGACTTTTTTCCTTCCTCACAGTAAAAGAGTGTTAAACATTTTCTTCCAGGAAGTAGTCTCTTCAGCTGTTTTTCCTATGTATTCTGGAATTGACTTTTTTCCTTCCTCACAGTAGCAATAAGGTGGTTTAAAATATGCATGATCATAAATGGATTTGCGAGGAGCACTTGGACTGTAATAAGAGTGAGAACTTACTGTCTTGCTGATGTAATTTGTGCTGATATTCATACACTGGAGTCCTTCACTATTGCAGCAACCTCCACATCTGTAGATGGATACACATGGGGGTTTAAAGAAGGTGTTTGTAGTTGCTCCAAACTCTTTTCCCACATCCACACACACTTCACGTGGCATGCACTGAGTTTTTCTCCATTCAGTATCAATACCTGCCAAGTTATAGGGAATTTCACGTGTTATAAAGTAACTGTTTAAAAACAATACTCTCCTGCAGTAAATTAGTAGGACTTTTTCTTTTTTTTAAGTTTAGAACCAGAATATGCACTGCTAGAGTCACACCTTTTATTCAGTGAAACACACATCTCTCTGTGTTAACTTCTAGCTAATTTTTCTTCTTCATAGGGATGTGACATATTGTCATGGAGCAGAAGAAAAGTCACAGCGGAGCTAAGAGGGAACCTAACAAGGTTGGGCAGATCTTACGGCATTCACAGTTAAAGCTGTACATGTCCTTTCTCCTATGCCTAGGGTGAGTCTCACCTTGAGTGAAGTCTAAAGAAGTACTGCACATCTCTGGAAATTAATTTTAACTGGTCCCACACAGTACTTCACTTGGATACTATATATTAAAAACATTAAATGTGATGCCTACATACTTAACGTGAAATTCATTTGAGTATGTGTTTACTTTGTTAACTCCCAGAGTATAATTTAAAGCAAAAGGTTATTATTTAGCAAGTATATGCACCATATGATTTAATCTGAAAGGTGATATTTGTGCCCAGATTATCCACGCAAATTTAGGCAAACGTTTTACATTGTGTTATACAGCCTTTTGGCAAATACAATCTTACACTAAACAGCCATGAGACTTGCAGCAGTACAGGCCCCTTTATTCTCTCTTGGAGCCAGTTTTTGGTAGGCTATTCAGCAAAATGGAAATTTCACCTAATGTGTACCTTAAAGTCTCCATTAAGGTACATGATTTCCAGTATCATGTCAAAAAATACGCCTCCTGCTATAAATCCTGTGTTTCTCTGCCTGCAAGCACTTGCTTAAACTGTAAGCTAATTGTATTTTTAATCAGGCCACCTGAAACACTGAGGGGTATTGACATATTTGTTTGAAAGCTGTTTTTTTCTGGTTTGAGCATAACATCATGACAACTGCCCTCTTGTAACAGGAAAAAGCTACAAGTGGATTATTTGGCCTCCTAAAGCAGTAACACGTAAGCGAAGAAAGCATTACCAGCCGTGACGTAATTGCAGAAAATGAGCAGAAACGGTTCAATGAAGCCAACTATTAGTGTCCTCTTTGCTTTCTGCAAAATCGTTACAGCCCCTCCAAAGCAGGATTCCTTCCACCTGAAGACAGCCACTTAACTTCCTGTATCAACTGCGCTGAGAAAGCAGTCTATACCTTTCCTACAATGGACGTACCAAAAATACGTCTGTGGAGCAATTTATTTCATTATGGAAGGTTGACTATCAAAGATTTTATTTTATAGCCATTACATCAAATCAAACTGCTAAGGGTGGTTTACTTTTAAAGGGTGCTTAGCTTTTAAAATATTTTTGACACAACTGACAAGCCTTTGGATTTTAATTTATTGTATGTTAGAACGTGTTTTGTGTCCTGTACTTACTTTTCAGGATCTCTGCATTATAGTGTGCTGCGGCAAATTTCAGTGAATCATCTGATCTTGTGTCAAAGCTGGAGCGTTCCCTGTTGTGTTGCCAACCTCCTTTCCTCAATTGACATTTGAACATTTTCCAGTATTCTGGGTAAAGTACTGTCATGAGTTCATCCACACTGGACACAGATCGCAACTGCTCTTCCAGGTCTCTGCTTGCATGAGCCTGTCAAAGTAACATGCAAGATTAATTACTTTCTCTATTACACAAGGTTTGCTGGAAACTAGCCTAAAAAACAACTCATACATTGCAAAATAAAGTTGTGCTCAAAGGGGTCCTCATTACAAAAACTACTTTTGTCAGTCAATGCCAACAGTACTGTGTTGACAAATACTGAAATGTTTGGCTTGTGCCACTAATTCTTTACCATACTTGTCATTCAAAACATCTGCGTGAGAAAGCAGCTATAGATTTAAGCCTATACAAGTACTGTTTGCAGATTAAAAAAAATAAATTCCATTTTTATCCTGGAAAGAAAAGTTTTCATGATAAAATTTTGAATGCTTAAACCCCAAAACATTTAAATGATGTTCATGTTATTTAAGACCACATACCATTAAAGTAACACCACATTTTTGCCCATTTTCCCTTAGTCCAGGAAAATAAAAACACCCAGCAATGCAAAAACAGTGAAATTGGAAAACAGAAGAAAATAATGCATGTGATTTTGTACCTTTTTAGGGAAAATCCTAATAAGCAAATTCTATTATAAAGCACTAATCCTTAAATCAGTAGGATTCAAGGGCATTGGTACCTTTAAGAATCTGAACTGCACACTCCCTCACTGCTAAGAGTTTCAGCTGAAACTCTTCAGGACTCTAAGCACTGCACTCCTTAACTTGTTGTTTCAAGAGCAGTCTCAAATCCTGTAATTGTGCTTTCTTATTTGCTAGCTTTTACACAAACTCACTGCAATTGCATTTTCCTAAAAGACTACGACTCAGATTTACATTCTAATTTCTCACTTATCTGGAAGATTCCTCTATCCTCTTAGGTGAAACAACACATTGCATCAAAGGACTGCTGTCATTCCCTGCCCACCCTCCCTCATCCATGAATTGCTGACTTCCCAAAGGGAAAGGCAGTAAGGAGAAAGAAAGGCAGTGAAGAACCTTTAGCCACCTTCTCAGCCTACGTGGCCCTTAGATGGCAGTATGAGACACAAAATGTAGAGGTACACTTTGTAAAAAATGTCTAGCAACTGGCTGCAGACTTTCTACAGGTTACTACAAAACTTTTGCCCTGGTCCAAGAATAGCAAGGCTGTAACAGTGTAAATGTGTGTCTAAAACCAGAAATATGAAACTATAGAAATTGAAATTTAAGATTCTTTATCAAACTGTATTATAACAAAAAAGAAATTCTTTCAATTAAGTGATTTCGAACACTACGGAAGTAAAATGACCGGTTCTGAACTAGCTGACCTGAACCAAAACTGCTCCTTATCTCACAAACAACTAAAAGGGTACAAAATGGCATGCACTGTCACATCCACTTCCTTATCAGGTACCAAATCCAGGAGAAACCCTGGTAAGGCAGATTCACAGAACTCATTTCTGCAACTACAGAAGCCAAAGCTCTGTATGATTTCATGCAGAGTTCAAAGTCATTTTGTACATCAAAGTGTTATGAAGAGAGGGAAAAAAAAAAGTTTTCACTAAAGCCTCGCTAACCACAGTATCAGACAGACTACTTTGTCCTGGGAGATTTTAACAATCAAGCTGTCAGTCTCAGAAACACGCTCATTCAGGACTTCATCTCTTTCCTTGCCTCCATAGAAAGGGTCATCTCTGACCCAAGCCACCCAGCAAACAGTACCTTGGGGCCTTGCCTTCAAATTCGTTGGCCACACGGAGCATCTCGCTCCCCTGTTCTTCTTGCAGGATGCCACACAGGTTCTCAATCAGTGGGTCACAGACAAAAATCCAAGCGGAACAAACAACTAATTTGGCCACTGTGCTTGCTTTCATCTCTCTCAAGAGGTGATAAGAGCAGGGTTTGAGTAGCCTCATTCCTGCCAGGCTGTTTCCTGAGAGCACTGCAACACATACCCCTTGAGTAACGGGAAGCAGGTCGCTGCACCAGTGCAGTAAATGCCAGCGTCGCAGATGCGTGCCTGCCACGTGACGGGAATATGCGTGGCACAGGAGGTCACGGCATGGAGGCGGCGTGTATATCCTGCCACAAGGCTGGATGCCAGTCCGTTACGTAAAAGGCACAGGAATGGAAACTGTGTTTAGTCGTCTAGTAGCTGATCCTAGGAGGTACCAGCAGATCATGGCGGTGACATGGAAAGAGAATCCAACCAAAGGTTCACCAACCTTTGATGAATCCCTTAAAAGCCTGTGCAGCCCACTGTAGACAAAACACTGGCTGCTGTTGTTTCAGACATTCAAGGTACAGGCCTAGATCATCAGAAAAATAAGTACTGAGACTCAAAATTACTTAGTTGATAAGAAGCCAGTGTACGGAGCAGGAAAGAGGTTATATTTGTCTTGATGAAATCCTCTTTGGTCAAGAAATCAAGTCATGTCTTTCCAGCTGGACAGCAAATTTGGTATACACATATAAAATATGTATGAATAAAAGTCCAAACATGAAGAAATTAGTGGCTTTAATAAAGTATTGTATCTAATTTAATAAAGTATTGTTTTCAAATGCATTTCTTCATGGATATTCAATGGGCCAGAATGCCGTGTGAAGGACAGAGAATACTGCCTACAATATGAAGTGCTCACTTAGTATGAACAAAAGGAAAACAATTTCTGGAGCAGATATATAAAATTACTTTTTTTAAAAAAATGAATCATCATTATTGCATCTGAATTATTTTGTGCTTAGTTTAATAAAGCCATTTGCTTGTAAAGATGACTTCAATTAAAACTTAGAAATATACTGTGGAAAACCAACTTGGATCACTAGAGGACTTTTGTTCTCCCCCCTCTCCTGATTTAGGAAGAAAGGGAGAAGGAAATCCATACATGTATACCAAATACAGTACATGCAGTGTCCAGAGTCAGGAAAAAAAAAGAACAGAAAAGATATGTTGATTTTTCAATGTTTCCAATATTACCTTGACACACAGATCAATGACCTCTTCCTAGTATATTCACTGTAAGTCTATGAAAGGCATGTATTTTTGAACTGCAGCAAATTACTCTCATCTACTATGTCAAACTGTTTAAAGGAGTGTAAAAATAAGTGTAAATACACTTTAAAATAAGTGTAAGGAGCACGTGGAGTGATTTAATTTTGTACAACAGTCAAACTTTATTGTTGACATGAACATCAAACTAAATCTTAAGTTCCGGTTGATTAGAGGGGTGTGTCCTGCATACAGTAAAAGCATCAGATCATTAAGGAGTCTTAAAAAATCTCTAAATTTTTAAAAGAGGAATGCAACTGCTTCTGTAAATATAATAGTTGTCTGGCAACATTTTTGATTTTGTCCAAACTTTGGTTAATTTCACAAAAATATACTGTCTTGGTCCCTACCTTTTATTCCAAATTTTTTTCTCTTTCTTAATTGTGCATTGGCTTTTAGAGTAGGACACTGGGAAAAAAAATTAAAACCTCAAAATGGTTTTGCAAATCAGACAATCCAAACTTCAACACCTATTTAGAACTTATGACAAGACACAATGAAAGTAACATCAACAAAAATATACTACAAATCAGAGGAGCTCTAATTTTTTATCTTATGCAAGCCCAGATTAGTGAAGTTTGGAAAGAAATACTGTTTGTAGATGCAATTACTGTCACCAAGCTAGTTATTCCCAAATGTAATCTTAAATTAAAAAAAAAGAAAAAAAAACCTAAATAATTGTTTTATTGTCTGAAAGTAATATAACATTAACAAATGTTTTGACAAGAGAAATTCTGCAACTTTTAGAAAAAAAGTAAGCTTTTTGATAACTGTGAACAGTCCATTGATTTTCATAGGAATCAGTTGCAGTGCACTCCACATTGAAATCCTCAATCAACTGCTTAACGTTTTACTGCCAAGACATTCTGTGATCTATGTTCCTCATCGAGAAGGTAGCAGGAAATCAGTGCCATCAGTGCCTGCAGAGGAAGGAGTTTTCTCTGTCCCACATATTCTATTTTCTTTGTTCTTTTAAGTCAGTTAAGCAGTTGGTTTTTGTGCCTTTTTTTTAAAAAAAAAAAAACAAAACACCACCACTCCCTTCGTAAGTGTTTATCGCTGTCCTTTGGTTGGCCATTCTACTCTTTTTGTCATTTTTACATATTATCAATGTTGTTCTGCATGATCACCTAAACATACTAGAAGCTATGGTCTGGAGAAAGACGTTGACTAAAGCTTTGACTAGCCAATCTCTACAAGATGATAGATGATATTGAGCAAAATAACAACTTAAAAATACAAGAATGAAGGGTGAATACAGTAAAGACAAGCTTGCTTCATTTTACTTGTTCCACATTATTTCCTGAGGAACAGGGGAAATGACAAATACACATATAAATAAAGTAGTAAAACTTGATGACAAGCTCTCTCTCACTATTATTTAACTTAGGAACATTTTATTCTATCAAAGTATGTTTTTCACAATGTGGCTTTCCACCACATGGTATGTCCAGTTTTTCAGAAAATTATAGCTTACAAGGGGAGGAGCAGGATACCAAATAGGCTCTATATCCATTAACAAAATCAAATCTATAATAGATTATCCATGCATTACATTATTTGTCTTTCATGTCCCCAGTGCCTGCCTCTATTATTAATAACAAAGGTCAGAACACTTAATATTTGGCAGCATGCTTGACACATGATTGATGGTGCAATGTGCTATAACAGTACTTTACGCATCTGCTCCAATTATAGTTGTCAGCTCATTTAATTTTCAAGGATTTTGTTGACAAGTCTTCATAGGAAAATGCTGTCTATAAAACCTTCCATTTTAATATGCTTATATACTGTATTTATTTTCTGACTGAAATGTATTAAAGATCAAGCAGTTAAATTCTAATGTTGAAACAGTGTGCAAGCAAATGGAAATATTGCAAAAGAAAGGTATGTATAAACACCTCACTTGCATAATATTTTATTGTAATTTTCATGTATTTCAGCAATTTTGTAATTTTCATGTATTTTTTTTTGCAAGTTGATGCCCGTAAAAAAAGAAAATAGCCTAATTAAATATCTTA